CCAGGCCCTGGTCCCCCGACCCCACCCCACCCCACCCGGCTTGGAGATCGGCGCACCTGGGCTGGGGGAGCTGGTGGGCACTCCCAGAGTCGGGGCATCACCGCCGCTTGGAGTTGCCACGGCGACGGGGAGGATCTCGATGGAGACAGCATCCCCGGGTCCCCGCAGGATGCGGATTAACCCCTTCTCCTCCAGCTCCTCCACCTTCAGCTCTAGAGCCGAGGGCCTTGCGGAGGCCGGGGCAGGCCCTTTCTCGGGCTCGGGTGGACGCCGGGGGACGCCCATGGCCGTGGAATCGCTGAAGCGCTCCTGCAAGCCCCAGGGGAGGGGTCAGTGCCCACCGGCAGGCCTGTCGCCGAGCCCCATCGCCTTGCCAGGGCGGAGGGAGGGATAACGTCTAGAAGCCCCAACTGGGCTGTTCTGGGGAACCCAGACGCCCCCGAGCCCCGCCCCGGCCCCGGCCCAACCTCACCCGCATGGTCTCCAGCTCCTTCCGGGCCTGGCTGAGCTGCTTTTCCAGCTCGGCGATCTTAGCCATGGACTCGTTCTCCGCGTCCCGAAGCCGCTCTGTCAGCTGTGGCGGCGGCACATGGTGAGTTCCCACCCGCACCCAGGCACTGGCACCACCGGTGAGGGGGCGGCTTCAGGCCTGGCCGTCTGGAGAGCTGGGGGCGGCTTCCTGACGCACAGCCCAAGGTGTTGGGTGGGCCGCGCCTGGCACTTGAACCCAAGTGGGTGAGGCACTGAGGGCACTAACGTTCTCTCGGAAGGGGAATCCAAGGCCCCCCTAATGGGGGAGGCAGGTGACGAGGAAACCGAGCTGGGAGGGGCCTTAGGCTGGACGGTCCCCCCAAGTCAGGGCCTGGGGTCTGGGCACTGGGAGAGGAGGGTCCTGTCGTCCCCAGGGGCCCTGCACGGTGTAGGAGCTCAGTGAACACTCACTGAGAAAGACACCCAGAGGATTGAGGATGTAGGTTCAGGTAAAACCCGGGAGCCAGGCAGCCATGCCCAATTCACTCCTAGAACCAGTGTTAAGCCCAGCGCCTGATGCCGGTGTGGGGACCTGTGGGCCTACTATGTTCCGGGCCAAGTTCAGGAGCGGCTCTCACCAGGGTCACCTGCTCCTGCAGCTCCTCCATGTGCTCCAGCACAGCGTTCTTGGTCTCCGTGTCCTCCAGCAGCACGCCCACGTCAAACACATTGTCCAGGTACGCCTGGATCTGCACCTGCAGCTTGTCGCTCTCTGTGACCCGAAGCTTCTGTCTCCCAGAGGGAAAGGTGGGTGAGGCCTGGTGTGAGGGGGTCTTTCCAATACCACCCCATCCACACCAGAGCCCAGAGGAAGGGGCCGGAGCCCTAGCCTGCTTTTTTCCCTTGATTCTTTTTTCTTTTGAGTTTTTGTTTGTTTGTTTGTTTTTATATAGAAAGAGGGATAGAGAGATAGAAACACCGATAAGAGAGAAACATCATTGAGCAGCTGCCTCCTGCATGCCTCCTACTGGGGATCAAGCCTACAACCCCAGCATGTGCCCTGACCGGGAATCAAACTGGTGACCTCTTGGTTCATGAGTCAATGCTCAACCACTGAGCCACACTGGCCGGGCTCCTTTATTCTTTATTGAAATATAATTCACTGTTTTAAACTGTACAGCTCAGGAGTTCTTAGTATAGTCACAAGGTTGTGCAACCATTATTGCTATCTAATTCCAGAACCCTGTCCCCATTAGCAGCCACTCCCCATTCTCTCCTCCCCCGGCCTCTGCCAACCACCAATCCACTTTCTACTTCTATGGACTTACCTATTCTGGACATTTCCTATAAAAGCATCATACACTATGTGGTGTTTTGTGTCTGACTTCTTTCACTTATCATAACGTTTTCAAGGCTCTGTGTTGTAGTATGGATCAGTATTTCATTCCTTTTGTGGCTGAATAATATTCCCTTGTGTAGAAATAGCACCCTAGCCTGCTGCTAGTCATGGTTTAATCAATCCGATCCCAAAGGCCCTCCCCCACGAAGCCACCCAAGGAATTCGAGAAGAAAGCTGCAGCTTCTCTGCTCAGGCCAGGAAGCACCAAGCCCCCTGTCCGCCTTCCCCAGGGAAAGGAGCTGCCATGGCCGGTCCATCCGGTGTGCGCCAGCTCTCTCCTTGGCCCAGTCTCTCTGCACTCCCCATTGTGTGCTCCGGGAGCCAGACCCAGGGCCACCTAAAGCCCGTTCTCGTGCCCGGCTCCATGGACTGGGTGTCTATTATGTGGCAGACGCCATCCTATGGAGAGCCATTATTATCGCTAAGATTCTCCTATTTTACAGATGGGAAAACTGAGACTCAGAGAGAAGAGACCTCTCCAAGGTCACATTGGCTAGGAAGTGACAGAGCCAGGATTTGAACCCAAGCCTGCCTGACCCCAACACCCATGCTGCCAACCACTGAACCATACTCCGGGCAAACGGTTAAGTCCAGGGGAGAGTGCAGGGCTCACCTCCAAGTACAGGTCCAGGCCCAGGTGGGTGAACTCATATTGCAGGAAGACTCGGAAGTTCATGTTCTCCACTGAGTGTACCACGATGTTGATGAATTGCATGCAGGCCACCTGGGGGGTGGGGGACATGAGCAAGTCTGTGATCCTCTGGGTGAGGGGTTCTCAGTGCCTTCTGCCCGCCCCCCACATACTCCCCAAGACAGCCTCCCTCCTTTCTCACTCCACAAACCCAGCTTTGTCCCTACTCATATTTCTCTCCCATGTCCCCTCCCTCCTGCCTCCCCCTCTCAAACATCTAACCCTCCCCCACCCCACCCCAACCATCAATCCTCATACTTTGCAGGGGCAGACACCCAAGCCCCTGGCCACACCTTGCATCTGAGAGTGGCCGAGCCCCAGCTGGGCCCCTGAGCTCACCATGAAGTCGATGTTGCTGTCTTCATTCCGGAAGTATTCCATCAGCTTTTCAAAGCGGTGCTGCTCCCCACACACCTGGGTGGGGACAATGGCTGTCACTGAGGCCCCAGGGCTACACCTCCTAAGCCATCTTCCAGCTGCTACAGGCTCCTCTCAAGTTAAATCTCAGTCAGGCCATGATTCTCTTCTGCTCAAAACCTCCCCTCCCCCTCGATCTCTCATAACCTGCCCCCTCACTCAGGCCGCACTGGCATCCTGGCACATCCCCACCTCAGGGCATTTGCACTTCCTGATCCATCTGCCTGGTGTGCTCTTACCTGAGATAGCCTCCACGCCAAGTCCCTCACTTCCCTCGCAGCTCTAATCAAATTCCACCTTCTCAGGAGGCCTCCCTGACCACCCTGCAACCAGCTCCCCCAACCCCTACAGCATCCCTCACTTTTTCCCCATAGCACTTAGCATTTTCTAACACACTATGTAATTTGCGTATTTATTATGTTGTTTATTATCTGCCTTTCCCTGCCGTATTTCTTTTGTGAACTGATCACTAATACATCTCAAGTGCCCACTCTGTGTCTGACACATAGTAGGTGCTCAATAATTATTCCTTAAAGGTATGAATGCCATGTGCTGACTTCTGCATCGTATTCTCAAGCATTCACTTCTCATGAGCCAGTTAACCAGAGTCAGCAACTCTGAGATGCATGGATCAAGTCCAACTTGGATATGGCAAGGCTGAGGGTCAGAGGGTCAGCCAATGCTCATAGCTGTCCCTGTCACCCCAGGCAGTGCCCCTGCATGACTCTACATCTTCTCTTCAGAGCTTCCCCATCCCAGATTGTCCCCACCCTGTGTTCCCCAAATGTCCACCTCACACCCCCAACTTCCCCCAGCAGAGGCCACAACTGCCAGCAGGGCTCTAAGCCACACTAGAGGACAAGTACACCTTTGGGGGGGGGGCTCCAGTACCTCCTTGAAGTTGTCAAAGGCTGCAAGGATGATGTCGTGTCCTCCCCGCACCAGGCACACAGCCGCCAGCAGCTCCAGCACCAGAGCCTTGGTTCTGGGGAGAGAGGTCAGGTTGACCCTCAAGAACAGCAGGCCCAACGCAAAGGTAGATAGGGGCCTGGCTCATGACAGACAGGGCAGCTGGTGAGGGGGGTGGGATGAGCCTGAGCAGTAGTCCTGAGCATGGGGGGACAGAGTAGGCAAGCGGTTAAGTAGCAGGAGAATCTAGATAGAGAAAGGCTAGGGGCCTGGACCTCACCTGGGATTCTTGTTGTTGAGGCTCAGAGCAATCTCATTGACACAGGCTGGGTGGCTCATGACGAGGCTGAAGCCAGACTGGGGAGAGGGAAGAGGTCAGCTCCTCCAGGCAGACCCCCAGGACTGCCAGCACTTCTGGGATTGCCAGGGCCACACCACTGCCCTTGCACTTAGGAAGTTCTTTATATCTACCCACAGCCTCTTCTGAGGCAGCCAAAGCCTGGTCCCTCTTTGTAAATACCTTTGTTCAAAAGTCAGTGTCAGGACTCAGCACCTTGGACAGGGAGTCCTCAAAGGCCGGCTTCACTTATCACTCCTCCCAGTGAAATAACCCAGAGCTGCTCTCCCCATGGGCCAGGTGACCAGCCTTTCTTGGTGGGTATGCCTAAGTGCCCACGTGGGACATACCCATGCCTGGGTCCTCTAGGGGACCTGGCCAGGAAGGGGCAGAAGATGGTCGGCCTCAAGACCCTGAGCCAACAGCCCAGATCCCCAGGTCCTCCAGTGGAGGACAGGGCGGGGGCACAGTCGGTCCCAGCACCTCAGCGGCTTAGGCAGCCCCTGGTAAGGACTGGCCTGGCTGACCAACCTGGTAGTTCATGATGGCACGCAAGCACATAATGCAGACGTGGACGTCATCCTTCTGGCTGACGATGCGCGAGTTCCGCAGGGTCTTCCTGCTGTGGGCTGGGGTCAGCCTGGGCCGGGTGGGGAGGAGGCAGCAGGGGTCAGAGTCCCAAACCCAGCTTCCTGGCCAAACCCCCAACACTCAGATGGCCCCCGGGGTCAGAGGGGGGCATATCTACCCAACCAAGAGGGTGGCTGAGGACAGGAAGTTCCCCTCAGTCCTTAGGCCTGGGGCCTGACATGCTGGGAGGATGTGGAGGAGGGTGGGTCAGGAAAACAAAGACCCTTAACAGAAACTTGGCATTAAGAAGGGTCACTGTGACCCAGCCAGTGTGACTCAGTGGTTGAGCATCGACCTAGGAACCAGGAGGTCAAGGTTCGATTCCCGGGCAGGGCACATGCCCGGGTTGTGGGCTTGATCCCCAGTAGGGGCTGTGCAGGAGGCAGCTGATCAATGATTCTCTCTCATCATTGATGTTTCCATCTCTCTCCCTCTCCCTTCCTCTCTGAAATCAATAAATAAATAAATAAACGTATTTTTAAGAAGAAGAAGAAAAAAAGAAGGGTTACTGTGTTGTGGAGATGGAGAGCCTTATGAGAAAAGACTGTCCAAGCTTGGAAACCGCCACGCAAATGCTCTCCACAAGGGGGCGCTTCCGGCCACATTGTTGTGGAGATGGAGAGCCTTATGAGAAAAGACTGTCAAAGCTTGGAAACCGCCACGCAAATGCTCTCCGCAAGGGGGCGCTTCCGGCCACATGGGCGGGCTTATCTTCCACATGGAGAGGCGGCCCCTGAATTCAGACTGCCTTGTCTCAAACCCCAGTTCACCACTCACTGTGCAAGTTACTCAGTCTCCCTGTGCCTCCGTTTCCTCATTTGTAAAACAGGAATGATAATAATAGCACCTCTCTGATGGGGTTGTTGGGACTATGACATGAGCTCAGAACAGTGCCTGGCACAGAGTAAATAAATGCTACTAGTATATGAGTGTGCTTAGTCACTCTTTGCTAAAAAGCGTGATTTTTTTCGTTGTTGCAGATCTCGCCAATGGTGACTTCCGCATCAGCTCTTCTTGACAGTCCTGTCACATGTCCAACAACACCGTGAGGCCCCACCTTGCCCTCTGCCTGCCGCATTGCCCTGCGCTCATCATTGCAAAACTACGCCTCCTGCTCATGCTGTGCCTTCTGCCTGAAATGCCGTTCCCTGTCCCCATCACTGCCCGTAAAGCCCATACCATCGTCAGGCACAGTTCCCATACCACCTCTTCCGGGAAGCCTTCCTGAAGCCCCAGTGGCCGCCTCCCTTCTCAGAGCTCACAGTCACACTCCATGACAGCCTGTCACGCACTGTCCCCTACCAGACCAAGGACTCCCCAGGGCAGGGTACCTGTCTCCTGAGCACCTGCTGCCATGACTGATACATAGGAAAGGCCAAAAAATACTGGTTCAATGAATGAATGAATGAATGAAGCATGTTGTGAGCTTTTGGGTCTTAACATGAAGTTAGTCCCCTTCCTACCCAAAGTAGGAAGAGAGGAAGGTGGGCATCCTCATGAGGCTCCAGGGCCATCTTCTTCCCTCGCCCCACCCCCCAGCAGGATGCCCTGAGTTAGGGTGGGGTGACCTACCCACAGCAGCTGAACCCAGGGGCATCAGTTGAATGCCTCACCCCACCCACCACCACCCGGGAGACCACCAGGCATGCACCTGCCCCCAGGCAGCTACATACCGGGGAGAAGGGGGGCACCTGGAGGCCGCATGGAAGAAAACAGGGGGTTAGATGGATACAAGAGGGGTCCCATTCACCCAGAAACCGCCTCCTTATTCCAGACCCACCCAGATGCCCATCCCTGCCCCGAGCTCTGTTTGAGGCCCTCACTCTGACCCCTAATGCCAGGCTACCCCTCCCACCATCCCTGATGTCCCAGAGTGAGGCTGGCTGTATGCAGAGATCTAGGGGTGAATTCTCCTTTCTCCCCACCACCCCGCCAGGGGGCCCACGTACTTGACGGTCAGGTGGCGACTCCTGGGCTGTGGCACCGAGGAGGCGGGTGGGCCCTTGCTGAGGTCTTCCACTGACTGCTCCAGGGGCTTGCTCTTCTCCGAGCTTGGGGCCCCATTGTCTGTGTTCTCCATGTCATACCTGAGGGTCAGAGTGGGGCTGGAGGCCAACACTGCAGGGGTACTTAAGAGAGGAGTGGGGGGAAGTGAGGGGAGAGACGGTCCTGCAGGAGAGACGAGTGGGCAGGAGGAGGCTGTGTTCTTGGCACTGTGTTGGGTCTAGTAGGGGGAGAGGAACAGTGGAACAGAAGAGGAAGACACAGGTCCCAGCTGGGCTCCCCAAGATACATCCCGCCCCGTCCATGGCAGGCCTTCAGGAAGAGGCATGGCTCAAGGCCAGTGCAGGGTCCAGGGTAGCTAGGGCTGCACGGGGTGGAGTGACCAGGGGAGCGGCAAGGTACAGAAAGGCACGGATCAGCACTCAGGAGCAGCACGCGGGCAAGGGCAGGGCTTACGTGACAGAGCACTGGGCAAAGGCCAGGTAATCGAGGAGCACATCCAGGCCGCGGTTCTCCTCGTTGAGGAACTCCTGCACCCACCTGCGGACACAGGCTCCTTCAGCACCGGCAGGAAGGTCCTGCCCAGGGTGGGCCCACAGGACAGGCACGGGCCCCTGGGGCGCACTTTCCCCAGGGATGCTCAGGGGCTCAGGCAGGACCCACGGCCTGGCCATGCCTCAAGGGGTGTGGGTAGAGGAGGAGGCAGAGAAGCTGTCCTGGAGACCTACCCCGGAGGTGGCCCACAGGGGAGAGGAGGGGTAGGAGGGGGACTCAGCAAGGGAAGCCCCGGGGGCTGCCTGGAGGCAGAGCTCTTCCAGGCCCTCCCGAGGAAAGCTGAGCCCTGGCTCACCCGATGTGGTTTGTCCTCAGGGAGATCTCCAGCTCCCGCAGCACCTGAGTGGACTCCTGGACTCGCCTCTTAAACTGGGGGCCAAGAACAGGGGAGTCTAGTGGGTGGAGCCCCGCCTCCCACAGGCCCATCAAGCCCTGCAGCAGCAGCCAGCCCTTCCCCCATTACTGGCCTTTCACGTTCAGCCGCCCCCACCAACTCCTCACACCTGCCCAACGGAATAAGCATTCTCAGGCTACACAAACTCCCCCATGCACAGACACGCAGGGTGCACACACAGACATACAGCACACACACCCGGGACACAGGGCACACACACATATTCAAACACGAATACCCCAGGTACACACACACATGCACATCCAGTCACAAATATAAGGTACCCACACATCTACACACAGACACATGGGGTACACACACACACCCTGTACATGGACTCAAAGATGCACACAGCCCGGCTGGTGTGGCTCAGTGGTTAAGCGTTGACCTATAAACCAGGAGGTCACGGTTCGATTCCAGGTCAGGGCACATGCCTGAGTTGCAGGCTCCATCCCCGGTGGGGGGGTGTGCAGGAGGCAGATCAATGATCATCTCTCATCTTTGATATTTCTATCTCTCTCTCCCTCTCCCTTCCTCTTTGGAATCAATAAAAATATATATATTTTAAAAGGTACACACATATCCATATGTGAATACAAAAGTACACACATGCACATTCATGCACAGACACATGGGGCGCACACACCTATACAAGTACACACGCGTGTGCAGTGTAAGCACACACAGGATATACAGAGGAACCTGTGCAAGTGCCTGCCCAGGGCACTCAGTCCCTGTGAACACACACTCACACATGCACCCACACAACCACAGGCAAGTTTATACACACAGTTACTCCAGCTGCCCAGAGCTTGGAAGTGCAGGGGAAAAGGAACAGAGAAAAAGGGGGAGACGTGTACCCCCAGGTTGGACATCCAATCCGATGCTACCTTTCGGCTGACCCCACCAGTTTCCAGGTAGCTCTTCAGCTTCTGGATATAGGCTGTGGGGGGGTTCTTGACTTGAAACCGCTCCTGGGGAGATGGAATGGGGTGTACAGGAACCAGCCAGGGCAAATGACCAGCTTTGTCCCAGCATCCCAGTCTCAGCTTTGACCCCAGGTTCCTGGGAAATACCAAAGCCCTAACCAAACCATCAGCCAGGCCACTTCCAAAGACCCCAGGCCTGGGCCCAGCCTTTCCTTCCCACTGTGGCTCTAGCACAGCCGTGGGTGGAGTATGGAGGAGTCAGTCCTGCCATAACACCCCACCTGGGAGGAGGGGACTCAGACCCCCCAGTAGGGGGCACCCTCCCAGCTGGGCGTGCTGGGAAGAGAAACAGTCTGGAGGGACCTTATGAACGGGCCCAGGTCCTCCGCAGGCTGGGGGCCCCTCCCCCAGGACACTACCCCAGCTGTCCAATCGCCTGGGATGTTAGGTACCCGTGTGAGCCCATCTCCTGGGCTCCTGACTCCGCCGCCCCACCCAGCGCTCCGGGAGCCACTCCCACAAAGAGGTGGTGGCCTATCAAAGGCCTCCTACCGGAGGAGCTCCCATCCTTCCCACCCCAGGCCCCTCACACCTGCCCAGCCCTCCACCTTCCACCTCTCCCAGGCCTTTGAGCCCAACCTGAGAAGCCAGGCCCAGTGGCAGGGACCCCCTACTACAGCCTCAGAGCCTCTGGTGGTAGCTCTTCCCGCCTCCCCAAGGCCTCGCCCTTTCCCCACCCCCATCCCCAGACTCCAGCCCTGCCAGCTCCTCCCCTCCATTAGCAGCCGCAGAAGGCCTAGCCCTGGCTCCCAGGGGAGACTCCCTGCTCCCCTCTCCCCACCCTCAGCCTCGGGGCCACAGGCCCACCTCCCTGTTCACTAAAATCACTGCAGCCACAAGGCCCCGCCCTGTCCCAGCAGTGGGAGGGGTCCTCCTGCTACCATGGACAGCAGCCCTAGAAGCTGGCAGGGCCAGGGCAGCCAGCGAGCCTTGAAGGCGGCAGCCCAGGCTCCTGACTGCGCAAACCAAACCGAGGCAGGGGTTCTAGTCCCTGCTCCACCACTTAGTAACCGGTGGGCTTTGGGGAGCTGCGTGGTGGACGGCAGCTCCTCCGGACCCAAGGTAAAAGGAGGACAGGGACCCTGCCCACTTCCCCTGGGGTCAGGCAAAGATGTCCAACCACGGGGGATTCCCTTTCTTCCCCCGCCCGGAGCTGGAGGGTGGACAGAGGCTGCTCCAGAAAGCTGAGCAGGAGGATGGTGACACAGCCCCAGCTGAACTGGCTAGCTCATGGACTAGGCCCCGCCAGCTCTTCAGAGGACAGACCCAGCCCTGCTCATGACTCATGGGTCTCCGGGGAGGCCCATGTCCAAGAGAGGGCGATTCCGGAGCCCTGCAGATGCCGTCAGCACCCCAGCACCTCCCTGCATGCTGCCCTGGCCTCTGGGTAGGGTCTTGGCCCTTTGGGCAGCATGGCAGTGCCTCCTCTCCAGCCGCCCCAGCCTGGCCGGGGCAGGGCATCCAGTGGCAGAAGGGTCCTGGTACCCACCTGGTCACAGATGAGCTCCCACTTCTTCTCGTTGTCATACTGGCTCAGCAGCTGGACCTTGTCCGGGGGCAAGTTCATGCAGTTCTGGGAGGGGGAGGACAAGACAAAGACCCTGAGCCTGGGACCCAGCAGGAAGGGAGGGGGCACGGGCATTTTCAGGGAACCCACTAGGGACCAGCTCCCTAGAGGTCTGTCATACACATGAATCCCTGTCACCCTCACCCCGGGAGACAAGTAACATTAGCCAATGAGGAAACTGAAGCACAGAGGTGGAGCGCCCTGCCCTAGGCCCAACAGCTAGAAAGTGACATTGAGATTTGAATAGGAGTCTGCCTGACCCAGGGCCTGAGCTCTGTCAGCCCACACCAACTCCCTGGCACACCTGGCATGCAGGCAGGAGTGTAGGTTCTCAGCCTAACTTCCTGGGACCTCAAACACCTCTGGGCTCATCTCCCCATCTATACTAATAAAAGGGTAATATGCTAATTAGACCAGACATCTTCTGGACAAAGCCACGGTGGCAGGGGCCGAGGCAAGAGGCGGTTAGGGGTGATCGGGCTGGCAGGGGAGGGCAGTTAGGGGCAATCAGGCAGGCAGGCAGGCAGGCAAGCGGTTAGGAGCCAGCGGTCCCAGATTTCGAGAGGGATGTCTGACTGCCGTTTAAGCCCGATAAACCAGCAGTCAGACAGCCCCCAAGGGGTCCCAGATTGGAGAGGTGCAGGCCGGGCTGAGGGACACCCCCACCCCGTGCACAAGTTTTGTGCACCAGGCCTCTAGTGTGCAATAAGAAGGTATCATGCCTTCTCCATTGGGGCGAGAAGCTAACAGGAGAGCCATCTACAGCCAGGCTCCAGGGTGGCCACACACCACCAGACACCACATGCCCAGCCCAGGGCACCAGCGTCTCACAAACACCAGAAAAACCTTTTTGTTGATCCTCACCTGAGCATATTTTTCCAGTGATTTTTAGAGAGAGTGGAAGGGAGGGGGAGAGACAGAGAGCTAGAAACATCAATGTGAGAGAGACACATCGATTGGTTGCCTCCCACACGTGCCCCAACCAGGGCGGGGATCGAGCCTGCAACCGAGGTACATGCCCTTGACCCTTGCCCAGAATCGAACCCGGGACCTTTCAGTCCAAGGGCCAACATTCTATCCACTGAGCCGAATCGGCTAGGGCCGTGGTCGGCAAACTGCGGCTCTCGAGCCACATTCGGCTCTTTGGCCCCTTGAGTGTGGCTCTTCCTAAGCCTTAGGAGTACCCCTAATTAAGTTAATAACAATGTACCTACCTATATAGTTTAAGTTTTAAAAATTTGGCTCTCAAAAGAAATTTCAATCGTTGTACTGTTGACATTTGGCTCTGTTGACTAATGAGTTTGCCGACCACTGGGCTAGGGCAACACCAAAAAATCTTGCAAGGATGCAGACGGGAGCCTTCTTCCCCATCCCTCTCCAGCCCCTCCCACCTCGTCACTTCTGGAAGGAAGGAGATGGAGACAGGCTGAGGGAGATGAGGTCAGAAGGTCAGGGAATTCCAAGCAGGTGCATCATGGCTTCGGGGTGGGAGGGGGGATTCCAGCGGAAGGTCACCCAGCCACAGGACCTGGGGAGCGCAGACAGCACGCTGGGTCTGTGGTACCGGTGGCCCAGGCTGGGACTCCCCTCGGGAGCTAAGGAAACCTCAGCAGGGCTCTGCCTGGGTCCTCACGGGTGTGGTGTCCCTGTTGAGCCCCTCCCCCACAGGGCAGGCATACGGTCCTGCTGGGGCTGTGGAGTCACCGGGTGTTGCCAGCACTCAGGGCTCCTGGACCCCCAAAACTTAGCATGTCTTCCTAATAGACCCAGAAGACGATGCCAATTCACCCCAATGCAGTAAACCTCGGGTTTATTGAGTGTCTACTATGTGTCAGCCCCCAGGAAACAGTTCTTGCCCCCCAGGAGCTCCAAGTCTCCTCGGGTGATATGAGAGGAAGCCCGGTCCCCAGCTCACGTCGCCCTGACGTGCAGACAGGAGGCCACAGCTGGAACTGAGAGGGGCCACACCCACCGAGGCCCACAGCCAGCTTCCTCTCTGGGGTGCTGGGCCTAGCGCTAGGGCTCTGCCCAGACCTCATCCCCAAAATCACGGCCCTGGGTCAGCCCCAGACCACAGGAAGCTGCGCGCTCAGCACCCATTGCCCAAGCTTTCTGTCTGGGCCCCGAGTTGAAAGGTGAAACTGCCCTTCCAGCAGCCCCCCAGGCCAGCTGTGCGTGGGGGTGCGTCACTCCTCACCCCGCTTGTGAAAGGAGCCCCGACTGGGGAAACTGCTGCTGCCTCAGCCACCACCTCCTCCAACCAACCACGGCCACAGCCAGAGCAGCTCCTGCCCTTGGGGAGGGGCTGCCCCAAGGGCCCTTGGGGAGGGTTCTACTGGGCCAGGGAGGCCTCCCTGCTCATTCTCGCTCTCTCTCTCTCTCTCTCTCTCTCTCTCTCTCTCATCCATCCCCACCCCACAGAGACCCAGGGCGGGGCAAGGCTAAAGTGATGGGGCAAGGCTGAGGGGAAGGAAGAAGCAGTGAGGGAGGGAGGACAGGCAATAACAAGGAAACCGGAGCAGAACCAGAGAGGAGGGAGGTGGGGGGGGGCCCCCCCACAGCTGAGCCTTAGGCAGTGGTTCTCAACCTTCTGGCCCTTTAAATACAGTTCCTCATGTTGTGACCCAACCATAAAATTATTTTCGTTGCTACTTCATAACGGTAATGTTGCTACTGTTATGAATCATAATGTAAATATCTGATATGCAGGATGGTCTTAGGCGAAGGGGGCGCGACCCACAGGTTGAGAACCGCTGCGGCTTAGAGGGAAGAGCCGTTTCCCAACATGGGTCTTTCCGGGCCCTCACCCAACCAGGGACCTGTTTGGGGCCTGGAATGGTCCCAGCAGCACCAACCATCGTGGGGACCGGCTTTGCCTGAAAGCTTACGGAGCTGGGAGCTGGGCACTGCTCTGAGCCTTGCACGCAGGTGACCACTGTCCACTCCCACACCATCACTGGCACCATGATTAGCCCATCTTACAGGTGCCAGCACGGATTAGGGACTGGCCCCAGTTTACAAAGCCAGTAAGAGGGGAGCTGGGTGGGCTTTGAGCCCAGAGCTAACTCTGCTCCAGAGCCCTGGCCCGTCCCCCGGGACAGCACCATGGTAATTAGTGGGGAGGGGGAGGCCTCTGCTGGAGCCGGCACACCTGTCCTGACCCAGGGCCTCGGCCCACCCTCTCCCCTCTGCCCCTTCCCCACCTGGCCCCCCTCAGGCCCGCAGGCCCACATGCCAGCCTGCCAGACGGGCTAAATTTAGGCTCCGAGATCAGAAATAGCTCTGACAGCGCTGAGCACTAATTAGCAGCTGTTCCTTGGCCATGCCCACCGAGGAGATGGGCACCCTGGGGAGCAGGAGAAGGGCCAGTGGATGCCACTCACTCTGAGTGGGGGGAGGCCACCCTGAAAAATAAGAACAGACCCCCAGACCCAGGGCCCTCAGCAGGGAGGCAGCACGATGGGGCTGAGCCCTGGGACACGTAGGAGTCTGGCTGACAGAGCTCCCATGGACCAGGAAAGGACAGGGAAATCCAGGGGTGTGTGACTTGCCTCCTGGGGCAGGGGCTGCTCTGGGCCCACCAGCCCTATCACTTCTTTGCTCCTTGAGCCTCAATTTCCTTCTCCATAAAATGGGCACACTTGCCTGGCCCGTGTGGCTCAGTGGTTGAGCATCGACCTATGAACCAGGAGGTCACGGTTCGATTCCCAGTCAGGGCACATCCCTGGGTTTCAGGCTGCGTCCCCAGTGTGGGGCGTGCAGGAGGCAGCCGATCGATGATTCTCTCTCATCATTGATGTTTCTATCTCTCTCTCTCCCTCTCTCTTCCTGTCTGAAATCAATAAAATATATTTTAAAAATAAATAAATAAATAATACAATGGGCACACTTCCCTCCTGCCTCAGACCCGCAGAGTTCCTAGGAACCCCCGAGCGAGCGTTGTGATGCACCACAACGAAGAGGCACTTCGGGGGATGGGGAAATGCGTCTCTGATCCCAAGGTGAGGGGTCCTGTGGTGAGAAGTTAGTGAAAACATCCAGATAAAACAAACCTGCCTCCAAGGCTTGGCCAAAAATGACCTGGCCCTTCAGCACCCTCCCCCACTCCCTGCACGCTTTGGGTCAGAGGGAGGAGGAGGTAGGCTTCATCTCCTGGGGTGTAGCCAAGCAAAGGAGCTGATTCCCCAATGTTTCTTTCTTTCTTTTTTATCCCAATATTTCTATTAGAATGCGTGGAGATCAGCCCGGCCTGCACTCAGTGATTGTTGAGCGTCAACCTATGAACTAGGAGGTCACAGTTTGATTCCTGGTCAGGGCACATGCCTGGATTGCGGGCTTGATCCCCAGTGTGGGGTGTGCAGGAGGCAGCCAATCAATGATTCTCTCTCATCATTGATGTTTCTGTCTCTCTCCCCTCCTTGCCTTTCTGAAATCAATAAAAATATTTTTTTTAAAAAAAGGTGTGGCGATCAGTCTCCTCCTTCCCTACTCCTACGTCTCTGAGTGCCAGAGGGTCCCCCAGCCTTGCTCCCCCAGGACCAGGCCCTGGCAGGCCTTTACGACGCCCCCCAGTGCTGATGTCAGGAGGCGTCCCTGGAGACTGAGGGGCTCCGGCTACATCTGGACACGGACACACCCTCCAGTTTCACTTTCATTTGAGCTGAGACTAATTCCAACCCACCTGCCCACCCTCTCCCCTTGAGGCCCGCCCTTGCAGCCCCAGGATGCCCTTGAACTTGGGCACCAACTCCAGTCTCAGACCAGCCCTGCAGGGGTTCCACAGCCTAATGAGCCTAGAAGTGGCCCTGTCTCCCAGCCCCCACTTCTCCATCTATCTCCCCCACCCACCTCTATCTGGCCTCAACCTTGGTTTTAGAGCTCTCAGCATATCTCCAAAAACAATCAATTTTATCCACTTTAAAAAATTCCAACATCTAGATTTTCTGGGGCTCTTAGGGCCAGCAATCCAGGCTTATAGGAGAGGGTTGTGGGGTAACCCAAGCCTAGGATCAAGTACTGAGAACCCCAGAAAGTTAACAGTTTCTCCCATCAGGGTTCAAGGATTCCCACAGCAGGGACAAGGACAAGCAGGGTGGGAGCCAGGGCAGCAGGCACTGCCCATAAAGCCAAACTGGTAGGAGAACAACAACAATAATAATAAATAATCCCAGCCTGGCTGGTGTGGCTCAGTGGTTGGGTGTAGATGTCTGAATCAAGAGGTCACAGTTCAATTCCCGGTCAGGGCACAAGCCTGGGATGCGGGCTCGATCCCCAGTGGG